ACATAAGAAAGATAAGATTATTCGTTTACCTGCTCCCTCTCGAACTGCCAACTCTCGAAATCACGCAGTGTGACTTGTACGAATGAAGTAACATAATGCTGCTCTTCGGTACGTTGATATTTCTGAAGCAAGTCCAAGGCAAGATCCTTCAGTTCGGCCAGATTCAAAGCTTCACATTCACCAACCAATCTGAAGAAATTTCTTTAAAGAGCGTCGCAGACTGGATAAGGAGTCTGATTTTTCGCAATATAAAGTTTGTAAGGTTGATAGCGATGCTGTCTTGGTGTGGAAAGAGGCTCCCCTCCACAAAAGCTCGAAATAGAAAGTAAACGCAATAGCAAATAAACGCCAAGAGGAGGCAAAATAAGCTAATCCTTTCTATGTATCAGAGTGGCGGAAGTATCTGTTACATGCACCTACATTGAAATATTTCAGAAGTTACAAATTTCAAATATAGCCAAAAAAACTACAGTTCTGTAAACATGTTTGCTTCTTTTGACCTCCTCCTTCACTGTGCCTTTTATCTTTTGTGTTTTTTTTTAAAAGTGTTTCGTTAGTGTCCCTGTAATGATAGCTGTCTGATGCCTCAAGCATCTCAAAAAGGAGCAGCGAAAAATCATAAAAAATTTAACATGTCTTGAAAATTCTTCTCTCTACGTGCAGCGTGTAGAAAGTGATACGCAAAGCTTGGAAGTCAAAATTTCTCCAAAACAGCCTGGCTAGAACGCCAACAAAATTGCCAAGAATCGATAGAAAATCATCCTCCATAATAATAACTTTGTGATATGCGTCTTCCCTCACTATTGTTGCGAACCGGGAAAGCTGTTCTGCTCTGATTTGAATAGTGGAGTAACCGAAAGAAAATCAAATAACATCTCAAGTTTCTTTTGTTATTATTACTCAGCTGTTATTTCTATTCACGATTAGGCGCTCACTTTGCTAGATCGTCCGGTTTACTTGGCAAAGCAAGTGAAGGCACAAACTTCTCCTTTTTCAAACGAAGATATGCCAAAATGTGTCGGAAGGTCTTCGCGTCTCTATCCAAATAATAGTTGCCTCCCTACAATGTCA